TTGTCTCAACCCTGCTTTTTTCCGCCGCTGTTTACTTCCTCCCCTGCATCCTCTGTGTGTTTTCCTCCACAGTTCAGCTGGTATCTCCGATGTTCCGGCCGCCAAGCCGGCCGGCCTCAGCGCGATCAGCTGATCTCTGGAGTAAACAATGCGGCCATGAAGTTGTTGCGCAATGGTGCCGGGTCCGAATGAAATAAGTAATTCCAGGGTGAGGAAAACGAGTACAACTCTCTCAATCAGCATGTTTTGAGAGGGCGCAGTTCCAAAATTACAATCACAAAAAGCCAGCACAAATACCAAACTTAATAAAGCAAAAAAGTAAGAAAACCGAGAAAACAAGCAGGAGCGACTGCAACAGGCTGCACGCGCGGGTGCATGCGCTCTAAAATACATTCGTAAATTCGTATCCGTATTTAAAAAATGTCGGGTTTAAACTGGGCTTGGGCTAGTAATTACACTCACCTTGGGTGTCCAGAAAGAGACCAAAGTCAGCGTTCAATGTCCACGTTCGTATCCTTAAAAAAAATGCTGGGTTTAAATCGGGCTTGGGCTCGTAATTACAGTTAAAGGGCGGGGCCAGCCGGGCCGGGCCGGGCTCGGACAGAACATGCACAGGCTCGGGTGGGATCGGGTTGGATTTTATGGGCCCGATCTAAGCTCTACAGCAATCTCTATCAGTCAGCTGATGAGGAAAAAAAATAAACAAATGAACAAATGTGTCTGCACAAATATGAGCAGCATCTGAATTTTTGCAGAGTGCATTATCTGTTAATGTCCAAATGATGTATTTCTATTCAGCTAGCAGTGTCTATAAAAGAAGCATTTACTATGGGAACCCTGGATGCCTTATATAGCTTATCCTACTTTGCTCGTGTATTGCTGCTACTCTTGGGTGCTTTCTGGTCCATTCGGAACTTACACTGATGCATTAACTGACCTGTAATCTAGACACACTTACAAGTGTGGACTTGAGACCCCGCTCTGGTGTGAGTAGAATTTTTGGGTTCTGGTATATCCAAGTCTCTAGACATCAACACTTAAAGAGTACATTTACTTGCAGACACAGCTGCACAGAACAGCTACAACACAGGTTTGATGAATGAATCCATCTGTAATTGTTTCCAGTGACCTTTTTCAATTCACTACAGAATTCATAAACCTTACTATGTGAATGTGTCAGAGTGCAGAGACTTACTGTTCATTTACAACAAAAATGCAGTTGTCTTGGGAGGGAACGCCTGACACCGGGTGCTTACAGGTCACCTTTCGCTCATTGTGACTGCAGGAAAAGATAGAGTAAGAGACAGGAAGAGAAAAGACAAAAGGAGAAGGAGAGAGAGCATTTAACTTCTGCAACAACACCCCTTTATCAACAGCTGAAACATTAAATGGATAGCGTGCTGAGGGCAGGGAAAAAAACAAATCATTTGAAGTGAAATATGAGATTTCCTATAAGCTGAAACATTACATTACATAACAAACAAACAAACCAAAAAAAGTTAAATCAGCTTCTTGTAAAGAGAGCACACTACAAACACTCAGTCACACAGGACACAGAGGACAGCTGAATGTGCTGGAGCTCTAGGCATCTTGGAAGAATTTTATTAAAATTCTAACATCTTTTAAAAGATTTTTAATCAATCTTTTGTGCACTTAAACATTTCATGAAAACCCACATATATAAGAATTCAGGAGTGGTGGATGTTTTTTTCTCACTGTGATATTTGGTGGATTCCTGCTACCTGGGCCTACTACCTCTATTGTGGTTGAGACAGCCTAAGCCAGTGAGAAGATCACTTCTGAATTTTTGGACTGGTGAAAGCAATTCTGTTTCGTTGAGTGTATTCCTGCCTACGGTATATCATGGTAAGAGTTCTATCCTAAATCTGATTTGAAGATGTCAACCCGCAAGAATACAAACAACACTAGCAAGATTCAAGGTGATGAGTCAGTTGTTGTAACTATGGACACGCTCAAGGATATGTTGGAACAATAGAAAAATTTCCAAATTTCTATGAAGAATTACTAAAGAGACAAGAAGCCTCTTTTAGTGCCTTCACCCAGTTGATCCTGGATTCAACAAATAAAAGAGCTGATTCTCTGCTGACTGAGATTCAAGAGCTAAAGATCAGTCTGAAATATTCTCAAAAGGATATTAATGAAATGAAAGAGGATCAGTCCAGGTATTCGGCTGAGGCTAAGGATCTTGCAAAACAGGTCCTAGATATAAAATCAAAGCTATCAGATTCAAAGCACAGTGAGGAGAAGTTGGATTATCTGGAGAATCAAACTCGGAGGAACAATCTAGTGATTGAAGGCCTCAAGACTGACAAACCAGATGAGACCTGGGCTGAGACTGAGACCAAGGTCCAAGAGCTGTTCACCTCAAAACTCAAACTGGATGCTGACACCATTGAGATAGAATGTGCACATAGGAATGGAAAATTTAGGGGTGATGCTGGGAGGCCAAGGCCAGTTGTGGTTAAGCTATTACGCTTTAAAGAGAAACAGCTCATCATGGAAAAGGCAAGAGCTAACCTCAAGAACACTTCTGCGTATATAAATGAAGATTTTTCGGATCAACTGCACAAAAAGCGTGCTGAACTGCTGCCAGCGATGAGGGAGGCGAGAGCCAGGGGGGACTATGCAGTTATTAGTTATGATCGCCTCATTGTGAAAGCTAGAAGAGATGGAGGAAGGACTGTGGCCTAGTGATATGTACAGTTGTTTGAATGTTGTGTTTTACTGTTTACCAAAGGGAATATTGAGGAATGATTTACAATGCCTCTTAATTTACCAAAGAAGGGTTTAAAAATTGCCCATCTCAATATATGCAGTCTTAAATATAAAGTTCACGAGGTGACTTCTTTACTTAAAAATGAAAATTTACACATACTTGCCATTTCAGAAACTCACTTAGATCCATCAATAGATGTAAATGAAATTGCTGCTCAAATACATTTACCTCACACCAAACCATTTCTCTTGGGTTGTTGTTATAGACCTCCAAGTGCAAATATTCAGTACTTAGATGAAATATGCTTTATGTTACAGAAGGCTACAAACTGTGATAGAGAAATTTATTTTCTTGTGGATCTGAACATAGACTGGCTGTCAGCAACATGTTCAATGACTAGAAAACTGAGTGATATTGCAAAAATGTGTAACTTATCTCAAGTGATGACTGTACCTACTCAGGTGTATACAAATTGTACAGGACAAAAATCAGCCACTTGTATTGACCACATTTTCACAAATGCTAAAGAACTGTGCTCAAAGTCTGTATCAATCCCAGTTGCTTTAGTGATCATAATTTGGTGGCAATTGTTAGGAAAGCCAAAGCTCCAAAAGCTGGAACTAAAGTTGTCTTCCAGAGATCTTTTTAAATTTTTTTGTAAAAATAGTCTTGTAGCGGACATAAATAAGGTACGATGGGATAAAGTCTGTTTAATAAATAATGTGGATATGTGGATAAGAGGTAGCTGATAAACATGCCCCCATTAGGAAATGTGCAGTTAGAAAAAGGAGAGCACCTTGGATTGATGAAGATCTGAAAGCCATGATGACTCAATGGGATAAAATGAAAATGCTGTCTATTAAGTCTAGCAATACAACTGACTGGAAAGCATACTGTTCTCTTGGAAACCAAGTGACGAAAGCAAATAGGAAAGAAAAAAAAAACAAATATTACCAAAATAAACTAAATGAATTTTAAACATGATGAAAAGAAACTGTGGAAAACATTAAATGATATAACGAGTAAAGCTGGAGATAATTCACCCTCTTTTCTAGAGTCAGATGGCACATTTATTACAAAACCTCAAGAAATTGTGAACTATTTTAATGAATATTTTGTTGGAAAAAATGAGAAATTTAAAAAAGAAATGACAAATTCAGATACAAAAATTTCAAAACAATTAATCAATGTCTATCTAATGAAAAATAAAGACTGTGCATTTGATTTTCAGTTAGTTCAAGTGAATGAGGTAGAAAAACTTCTTTGTAAGTGTACATAGTGGAAAACCCTCAGGATTAGAAACTCTTGGGGATGGTCCCTGGCACTATAGCCTTACCCATAAATCATATTTTTAATCTGAGTTTGCAGGAGGGTGTATGCCCTCAAGCATGGAAAACTGCAAAAGTTATTCCTTTACCCAAAAACAAGAAGGAGCCATTCACTGGTGCTAATAGTCATCCTATAAGCATCCTTCCTGTGCTGAGTAAACTGATGGAGAGAGTTGTGTTTGACCAAATCTCACTGTATTTTTCTATCAATGGACTTAATGAATTTCAGCATGCATACAAAAAGGGTCACACCACTAGTACAGCTTTAATGCAGATGACTGATCAATGGTTGAGTGATATAGACAGGAAAAGGATAGTAGGTGCTGTGCTTCTTGATTTTAGTGCTGCTTTTGATTTAATAGACCACAAAATGCTCTTAATGAAACTGGCTGCTTATGGTTTTAATGCTTTGACTCTTAAAGGATAACTTAGGTATTTTTCAACCTGGGCCCTATTTCCCCATGTGTATGTGTGCATATAATTCATAGGTACAACTTGTTTTAAAATTGGTTCAGTATTGAGGGAGCCGGCAGCTGGAGGTTGATATGGGGGCAAATGTGTCCCGTATAAGTTTGCGCATTAAAAGTGCTTTTTTTCGCCACTGACCAGTTCAGATCGCCAGGGCTATCTCTGTAAATAGCATACTAAGCGTTTCCCTTACCCTTCACTTCCTGTGGGCTGTGTGTGACATCATCTCGCGAGAGCTTTGCTTGTTGCCGGAAGAAAACAGGAGCCATGCTGAGCGCCGCACAGAGTGGTGCTTGTTGTCCCGGAGTACATTTGAGAGTTTTACTGCATCGGTATCATGGCTGCATATTGACCTGATTTCGAGAATGAAGATGAGCCCTTTTATTACAATGGCTGCCCGTACTTATTTGAGCGCAAGTATACGGACAAGGAGCTCCTACAAATTGAAGAGCAGACGAGGATAGAGAGAGAGGGCCAACGAGCAGACGAGGGTGAAGCAGCGGCTGCACGAACGCGAATCTCTGAGGACTGGTGGTACTCCTGTGGTTGCTGTGACTCCATGCCCACAGAGGAAGAATGTCTGTGTTGCAACGAGTGGGACCTGTTGCCCAGTATTCATGGTCTCGATGTGTCCTGGGATGATACAGAAACTACCAAACGCTGTGTAACTACGTTAGAGGATTTCCCCCCTCTGATCAACAGGGCAGTGCTGGATACCTTTTTTCATGTGCCCAAAATAAATTGGAGGAGGAGGAACCGGTCAGTGGCGGAAAAAAAGCACTTCTAATGTGCAAACTTATACGGGACGCATTTGCCCCCATATCTACTTCGTGGCTGCCGGCTCCCTCAATACTGAACCAATTTTAAAATGAGTTGTACCTATGAATCATACGCACACATACACATGGGGAAATAGGGCTCAGGTTGAAAAATACCTAAGTTATCCTTTAACTGGATGAGGAGCTACTTATCTAATAAAACACAAACTGTATTCTTTAATGGTAGTTTTTCTAATGTAAAGACAGTACAATGTTGTGTCCCCCAGGGGAGTTACTTGGGTCCATTGCTCTACTCTATTTTTACTAATGATATGCCACTTGTTCTGAGTAAAGCCAGTTTAGCTATGTTTGTGGATGACTCTACTGTATATACGTCATCAAACAGTGTGGAGGAGTTAAATGTTCTCTTACAAAATGAAATTACACTTAATGCAGATTGGGTAGCCAAAAACAATTTAAGTCTAAATGTATCAAAAACCAAATGTAATGTTTTTGGAAAAAACCATACACTGAGGCAAGATATCCAATTAAGCATCTCAATAAATGGCAGCTGTATAGAGCAAGTAAATGAGGCTAAACTTCTAGGGGTTAACCTTGACAGAAAATTATCATGGCAGAATCATATAGATAAAATTGTTGGAAAAATGGGAAGAGGTATATCCATGATAAGAAGATGCTCCTCCTTCCTTACACCAAGTACCACCTTACAGGTTATTCAAGATTTGGTACTATCACATCCTGATTACTGTACAGCTATCTGGTCAAGCGCAGCTAATAAAGAGCTGTATAAGCTGCAGTTAGTGCAAAATATAGCAGCACGTCTTGCCCTTCGGTATTCAGTGAGAAAAAGCATAGACCAAATGCATGCTGATCTTGCCTGGCTGAAAGTGGAAGACAGATTAAGACGGAGTCTTCTAACTTTATTCAGGAATGTATGTGTTTTAAAACAACCAACTTGTCTTCACTC